GCGATAGGACGAGAGGAAATGGCCTCAAGTTGCGCCAAGGGAGGTTTAGGTTGGACATTAGGAAAAATGTCTTTACTGAAAGAGTGGTCAGGCCTTGGAACAGGCTGCCCAGGGAAGTGGTGGAGTCACCATCCCTGGAAGTATTTAAAAGACGTGTAGATGAGGCGCTTAGGGAGATGGTTTAGTGGGCATGGTGGTGTTGGGTTGACGCTTGGACTCGATGATCTTAGAGGTCTTTTCCAACCTTAATGATTCTATGATTCTATCTCCCCAACCCTATCTCCCTCCCTGCTGTCCTGCCTTCCCCACCAGACCTGTCACTATCCCTGCTCTCTCCCAGCCCACCCACCCCACCCCACACCATCATCCTGTCCTGGTCCCTCTACATCAACCCCCACCACCCCCAGCCTACCCCTGCTGGGTCGTGTTGTTGAGGATGTGGAGCCAAGCCATAGTGGCAAGCACTTCCCAACACGTTTGCTTACTTCATCTGGGTGGAAGACAGTGGAGAAAGTACCTCTAGCCTCCAGGATGTCCTGGCCCCTTTTGCTTGTTCCTTGCTGAGTATGGGTCTGATAAACTGTCTCACAACAGCCCTCTTTCTGAAAGACCGGGTGGTTTCTAAGACTTAAAAGATCTGTTGGGGGAACAAACCTTTCATATTTGTCACTGTGTCACAGAAAGCAAAGAAAATGCAAATATCCTCAGTACAAGCACAACTGTTTGGAACACAAGACAGAAATTTCAAGCGTAGAAAAATAATCAAAGATCCCTAGATCCTTCATGTCTCTTCAAATCATACAGAACAAATGTTAACAGCTAATTCCATATGGCTTTTTATTTTCTTCCAGGGAGAAATTAGATTTCACTGTTGAAGGAACTGAGCTCCATCCAGCGGAGAGGGAGGATACCATACCTTGCAATTCTCTAGGTAGGCAGAAATTTGTACACAGCACAGGCCACTCTCTGCACTTTCTGCACCGAAGGATCATCCCTTCAGCACAACTAAGTGGTTAGTGCAAGCACGATCTGACTCAGTGCAAACGAGTCTGCTCACAGAGGAAGGACAGCCTGGGCAGTGAAAAGGCAGTGCAACACAAATACATTTTATTCCTAGAACTGCAACCTCATTTAAAAAAAAAAAAAAAAAGTTGAAGATTTCATTTGGCGTAATTTTAGCTGTTGTAATTTCTTTTCCACAAGCGGAAAAAGAAGAGCATTGTGCAGTGGATCTGGACAGGAAGTAGTTTCGCTGTCAAGATTTTTTTTTAGGGTTTGAAATTTTTTTCTAACTCAAATTGCAATGAGAAGTCAAAATCTGGAAAACATTTTTTTAAACTTGAGCCAGAGCACTCCAATAATGAAGTGGCTTATATATGCTGCAGTGTAAGAAGCTGCTCCCTCAAAGGCTGAATACACAGTATTCTGTTTCAGAGAAACCAAAGGGTGTAATAATTTTATAGGCTTTTTTGAGTCTTATAAGTGTTTGTCTTAAACTATACTTTTAACCTTCTATTGCTCCCTTAGAACTAGGTCGTGTGCTTGTCACAGGTCCACAGACAACAAGGCAGAAGACATGCTATTAGATCACAAGGTGATCCAGTATGTCATTTACTATGCAAGGACATATCCAGAGACATCGAGTTCCTAAATTTAACAGAACGTTGCTTTCAGCTAATTACTTCAGAAAGAAGAGTGTGTGTTTTTTCCCATATCAAGAAAACAAAATTTTAACTATTATAAGTATTTATAATTTTGTTTAATAAATATGTTTAATAAAACTTGCAGGAGTTTACTATTTATTTCATTATTTGTATTTGATATATTTAATATATCTTCCTGTATTTTTTAATACTGTTTATTAACAAATAGGTGTTGCAAGGTACAGTTTATAGCACATAAGGTTCTGATATTTAAATGGATGTGTGATAAATCCTTTTGTCTCTACTCATTTCTTGGTGTGCACTCACGGCACAACTTTGTCAAACCCAGAGGTTGTTTTGTTACTGTTTCTACAAGTAGCAATGGAAGTACTTGGCCTTTTTTATAAGCCACACTAAGTGTAGACTGCAGTCACTATGTGTGGCTTCAGCTAATATTCTCTAGGCTCTCAGTGGTCACAGTGTTAAAGCCAATGTGGATTAGAAACCTAGTCTCACATAAGCAATGTTATCAGTCCTGGCAATTCAGGTAATTGCCCAGATTAATTCAAGCAGCAATTAGTTAAGAAATTTTGTAAAGATCACACAGTGACAACCCCAGAAAAAGGACCTGCAAATAATGATTTAAAATAAAGTAGCTGAAATTCCATCTCACCCATCCTTTTTTCTGGCCTCCAGTACTCCTGTGAGCTCCGTGAACTTCAGTGAGTTGGAGCTAAAGATTGGATGTTTCCCAGTTTAAGGAAACAAAACCACATGCTGTTACAAAAAGCAGGAGTTCTTACTGCTCCACTGTGGGAATGACAAATTTTTTACATTTTCTATCAAACCTAGTATATTAATTGCAAAGACAGCTTCCCTAAGCTATGTTGAACTAACTCCTAATTTCATGCTAGTTACTCCTACAGTCAGTCAGGGCAAGCACCTACCCTGTAATGCCTGAAAAATTTCCTAAAGTGGGGTGGATACTCCTCCCTTCCCCCACATCAGAGCAGACATCTCAATAGAAAGATTTGAGCCCCAACTCTTCCTTTATCTACCGCAAGCTCATATCTCCTTCAGATGTTGCATGTCATGGCAAGATTGCCTTTAAGCTGACTCACCAGTGGCATTAATGCACACTGGTCTGTCCAAAAGGGAGTTGGTGGAAGGTGTAAGTAGGCATCCTTTTGGTAGATGCCCCATCCCTGGAAACATTCCAGGTCAGGTTGGATGGGGCTCTGAGCAACCTGATCTAGTTACAGATGTCCCTACCCACGGCAGGGGGGTTGGACTAGGTGACCTTTAAAGGACCCTTCCAACCCAAACTATTCTATGATTCTATGACCCTGTCCACAGGGAGGGTAGCCAGATACCCATGGTGGAGTAATGGCTAGTAAAGCCCCCCTTTTCCTCTTCAGACTGCTCCTACTAGATATTGTTACTTTCTGGGTTTGGGTAGGATTCAGTGGATAGATCAAGTGGGTGTGATGAGTGTCATGCAAATTTTCTCTTTCTGCTGGGCTCTCTGTAGTGAACAGGGACATAACGAAGCGGATAGCTTAGCACAACACTTCTCTTTGGAGCTCCAAACCGTACAGGGCAAAGGACGTGACCTACTTTCTTCACATTTGGGTAAGATAACCTGAAACCATACTAAACTTGTAGAAACATGATGCTTCTTGGCATTTTCTACTGTATGATTATCAAGGCTAAGAAAAAATACATAGATATAAGTATACAAGTATATACATGTGGTGCAAGAACATTTTTACTTTTTGATCTTTTCTACGTGTCACTGTTCCATAAACGTGCATTTGTTTCAGTTGAAAGAAAAAAATGGGAAATTTCCAGTTCAGGGAACACACTTGTCAGCACTAGGTATGTTTTTGTGGTCTGTAAATAGAAGGGTTTTCTTTTTTGTTGTCGTTCTCTTTGCTCCTGTAATGACTTCCATGTTATGCTGCAGATATAATATATTTGTGCATAAAGCAGACTGTGCTCTTTGCCAGAAAGGATGCATGGCTTTAAAAGGAGAGATCCTCAGACAATAAAGTAACAGAGATGCCTTGTTTAGAACTACCGTGTATCTGTAGCTTCATTTTTTTATACTATGATTGTTTGTACTGAGAGTATAAGCTAAACAACCTAATTTGTTTAAGCAGTATTACTGCTTTGTAACCATGTATTATTACAAAATTTTATAAAACATATAGAGGACAATGACTCAATATATTCATTATTACAGTTTCTATAGTTAGTGTTGTTACGTTTATTAATAGTAGTAATAAAAGTAACTATGATGTTCTTTTAGGGAAATATAATGGAAAATAAAACAATTCTAGAAGAACTTCTTTTAAAGAAATCACAACAGAAGAAAAAAATATCATCAATTAATTACAAGAAAAGGTTGTTTGTTATGATGAAAGCAAACCTTTATTATTATGAATACGACAAAGGGGTAAGATATCATTTTTTTAAGTAAACTGTTCTGAGATTTTCCAGTGTCATCTTTTTCCTCTGGTTTTCCTGTGAAACTTGATTAGACATTATGTGTTAGAACAATACGCGTACTTTGTTTTGGGTAGAATTATAGGGTATCAAATCCTAGTTTCAGTTCAGGAAGACACTTAGCCGCAGGCTTAAGAGTGTCTCTATTCAGAACAACTCTTACAATTGTGCTTATCATTGAGCATCTGTTTGTGTCCTTCCAAAGAGAACTTAAGCAAGTAATTAACATTGGCATATGTTTACACATTGTCTTGAATAGGGATGTTTTCCTTGTTCAGGCTTCCCTCTGAACTGATGTAAATAACTGGCTTCAGAAGTTACTTGTATGAGGCATAATTAGTTCAGGATCTCATCCCTCAGCTGCACAAAGCAGATGGTTAAACTATCCTTGTTTCCTAAGGAATGACTGTATATCACAAAAGGGTGGCTTTTCACTCGGAAGATCTCACATCGGGAATGCAAATATATGTCCCAGGCAACTTATTTTAAAGTTTTTGCTCATTTTCATACATTTGGACTCCTCCTGTGACTTACATCCCATTAAAAAACTGCAGGGAAGCTCAGTGAGAATAAGCTCCATTACCTTAACAAAATCATGAATGCCACGGCTAGGCTTCTGGTTTGCACTTAAGGTATTTTCCTCTTAATTCCTCCTCCTTCTTTTCCTCCTAGTCCTTCCTTCTGCCCTGTACTCCTGCAGTTGCAGCAGATGCTTTCTCAGATGTAGGGCTGTGTCCTGCAATTCTTGTAGCTAACTTAAAAAGGAATTGGATCAATATATTAGATGCAGGTAGGGCACCAAGGAGGTTTTTTACCACCTTTCTTTTAAAGTTTAACAAACCTGAAGCTATAGCTTATACAGCTTGAAATACAAAATTGTACCAAATCGTCAAACTAGAATACTTTATGTTGTGTTAACATTAGTTTACAGTCTGCTGTGTTTTTTCTCTCTTAGAAAAAAGGAAGCAAAAGGGGGTCAATTGAGATTGAGAAAATCCGATGTGTTGAGACAGTGAATCTTGAGGAATCAACACCTCCTGCAAGACGATGTCCTTTTCAGGTTAGCCATGAAATCTGTTTCATTTACATTTCATGTGAAATATGCCAGTCATCCTAAGGTTACACTTAGCGTTCCTGTCCTAAGTGGTGACACCTGATATTGCTGAGTGCCACTGATATTTACAGCAAATAGAAAATCAGTCCCTATTACTGAAGTTGCGACTTTGCTGAAATATTTTTAATTGACTGTGATAGAATTTAGATCAAGTCTTGTTTCTTTTATGTACAAAGGTCTATCAGATATTTGCTTTAATATTATCTGGAATATATAGATCACTACACTATGTGATTATCACTTATTTTAAGGCAGAATTAAGCACTTAAAAATTCTTATTTTAATTCTCACTGTCTCTTTCCACTTCTTTTTGGCCTCAATACCACGCGCAGGATTTGATCCCTGACTGCCTGATTACCGTTCAGATGTGCCACAGTCAGGAAATCCAAGGCTACGCCTTGTATCAGAAGATGCAACTGCACAAAGCACTACACATGTTCAAGAATTAAATGTGATGAGAAAGCCGTAACTTCGAATTTGCTGCCTTTCATCTGTTTCAGTTGCCCACCTCAGGTTCCTCCTAGAGCCTCCCCATCAATCTCAATCCTGTGGGCAGTGGGACATGCAGATGTGAGAAGTGGCCACAGATCCCCTTCTGGAGTGCCACTGCTAGGCAGCGCAACCGCAAGCAGCAGGCTGCTAGGGCGAGTAACAGGGTTGCTGAATAGTGCGTTAATTCATGATCCTGCAATGCCATGCCCAAGGCCAGCCGCATGAGAGATACTTAATATTTCACTGCCTGGTTGATCCTAGGTGTCATTCCGGCCTTCCCTTCCCTTCTCTTCTCCCTCCCCCACTTTTGTGGCACTGAATGACACATTTATGTTAAATTAGTGTATTTATGTCGGGAGTGCATAATTCAGTTAAGTGGGCAAAAGAGTGTATGCTATAGTTACAGGATGGGGGACTCTGTTCTGGGAAACAGTATCTCTAAAGAGGATTTTAGGATCATGATAGTTGAACATAAATTCCCAGTGTGATTCTGTGGCCAAAGGAGCTAATGGCATCCTTGGACACGGAAGCAGGCACATATTGAGTAAAAACACTCAGTATGTTTTGATGCTACTGTGATCACCAGGAGAATATTGTGTCTAGTTCTGGTGACTGTAATTGAAGAAAGATGTTGTAAAGTGAAGAGACGTCAAAGGAGAGACTTGACAATGACTAATAGATTGGATGGATAACACGTTAAAGAGAAAAGCTCACGGGGCTCCACCATTTAACTAAATAAAGAGACAGGAAGCAAATTGATCAGTCGTGTGTACTTACCAGTGGGAGTACACATTGAATGACAAGGGCTTTTCAGTCTAACAAATAGCAATAAAGTGGCATTTGAAATTCGGTGCAGATGACTGAAAAGCAATGCACGCAAGGGAAATGAAACCTTTATCTAACACACACACACACACAGAGTCAGCCCAGGACCAAACATGATCCAAAAAGCAAAGCAGATGTTAGTAATTATTAGGTAGGCATCAAATGAAGCTAGCAGAAAATAGGCTGAAAACAAGCAAAAGAAGCTGACTGTTCATATTGTGTAGCTAAGCTCCAGGACTACTCACTGCAGGGTGTTGTAGATACCAGTTATTTGCTTAAAAAGGCAACTGAATGAATTCACAGAAGAAAAATACCTCTCAAAGGGTGTTAAGTATAAATACATCACCTTTGGATCAGGATTCCCTGATCACTGTACAGCTGCCCTGAGCATATACTCTGCCTCAGTATTTGTTACTGGACACTGTCAGAGACGGGTTCCTGGCCTCGGTGAGCATTGTAGGAACAAAAATAGGCAATAAAAAAAGTGGGCTGTGAACAAATATCCTCCCCGGTTTTACTTGTAAGCCCGTGTATGAGCTACCTCTCTGTGACTCCCTTTGCAAACACAGAAGTAAGAGTATGTCAATTAATTTGCCAATGTTATGGAGAATGTGGACCAGAAGCAGAATGGGAAGCATTCAGCAAACTAACTACATTGAGCCTTCTAGAAAGCAAGATTTTCAGTAAAATCTTTTAAAACAAAATTTGTGAAGAATTACGTTGTGTAATTGATATATGTTGTAATGCTCATGAGACAAATAATAGCATAAATTTTCGACTGCCTACAAGCCTCTTAAAAAGTGTATAAAAAGCACTTGTCGCCGAGGGTTGCCCTGATCCTTTTGCTGCTCTCTCACATGCTCAGGAATCTTGGGTCTACCATGGCTCGCCGCAGCAGGACTGAGAAAGCCATTCCTGAAACCATCAATTTTTAAAGTCTCCCCCTATACCTTCTACATTTCTTTTACATACAGAACTAATGTATCACTAGCACAGTAATACTACTGGGGCCATTTTTCTGCAGTAAACCAGTGCTTTGAATATAAAATAGATATTTCTGTGACAGTGTTCCCTTTTGGTGTGCTTAAATAAGAAATGTATTTTAACAGATACATGTTAGTTTGGATTTGCCATATAGGTATTGAGTATCTTTTCTGATACTGGGTATCAGTGAAAATAATTTTCTTAAAATAGATAGTTCTGGGAAAATATTCAGCATATTGTGATATATGAAAATGTATTCTTTTAATTAGTTTTATTATTGACAGTGAAATCTTTGTAAGATCCATGATTTTGAATCATAGCCGTTGGATCCTGTTTTGGCTTCGGGTGTTTCGCTGCATTGTACTGTATCTCCTTCTTGACATACAGGTTTCTTTCTCAAGGAAACAGGTAGCTGGGGGGTATGGATTTCAGACTTGGGTTTGCATAGAGGAATATGGTATAGATATAGAAATGTGACCAGGATGTGTGCCTAGAGCTAGGAGTCGGTAAGTACTCTGGGGTCCCATGGTTTAGTGCAGCAGACTCTATTGATCATAAGGAACATTCCCATTTTGCAACCTGTCACGTTCTGTTTGGTTTCTTTGTGCTTTCAAGAAATTAAAGACAATTTTGATTTACTAAACAAGTACCATAAAGGATTCTTCATCAACGGGAAATTTCTCTGTTGCAATCAGACCTGTAAAGCAGCCTCTGAATGTACGATTTGGGAGAAATGTAATGTGTTCTTTCATTTGTTTGATTATTCTCATTGATGGTTTTCACAATATTGCCAAATCACATGGACATTTAAGGCAGTGTAATCAGTATAAAAGCTAATCTACTTACACTTTTTCATGTATGTGCTAAGCTCCTTTTAACATCATAGCTGCTATACACTGTAGCTTATAGTATAACTGGGGGAAAGAATACACTAAATTGTATCTGTTGTGTTTGATCAAAAAGTTAGTGACATTTTTATCTACAAAATAAACCATGTGGAATTATTTTTCTCCTTATTCTTAAGATCTCTAGCTAAATTGTAACATTATGCTGTAAGACCCTTCTAGTGATGAGGTCCCATAAGCTGAATGGGTAGGAACAATAGAAGTTCAGCACAAGAGTGTGTATGAATGCGTATAAAACAATACCATTTCATAACTAAATGGAAGTAAAACTGTTATATTAATATATAATTATATTTATATGATTTTTTTTTTCTAAACAGTGTGATTTAACTTGCAGCAGGTTTTTTTTATTCTGACATCTGTTTCTAAAGTATTTTTTGTAGAACCTAGTTGCAATTATTTAGGGGTTTTAGTTCCTATCTGTAAAGACTGAGAGAAGAAAATTTTTAAAGTGGTACCCTCCTAGGTTTCACATTTTCAGAAGGGAATTCCAGCATGTCTATGTACATGCTTAACAATGAAAGGCCACATTTGGGAGAGGGAACAGCAGTTTATGAGTATTTGGGCTTCAGCCTTTTAAAGCTTGATTACTTGGAATTGTAGAGCACTGGTAGATCCACTGATGTCAATCATGATTGAACCTTGGTCTTACGCGTTTACAGTCACAATCAAAAAAGCATAAACCTAAAATTAAAAGTTAAATCCAAAAATGTAAGTGTGAGCAGTTAGGAACCTGATTTAGATCTGTGAAACTGCCTGTAACAGTACAGAATTTGCTTTTGAAGGTTGAAATTAATGATATAGGATTATCTACTATTACTACAGGTTTCATCATTATGGAACACTAGATAATGTGAAAAGTTGTCAGCTGATTTGTAACAGTAATTTGAATAGCATTATCTAGCTTCAAAACCACTTGTTATAAAAGCAAATAGGGCCATGAAACCCCCGGTCAGTGGCAAAGACAAGGAAATACCTCATTACCGGTCATGGATGTCTTAGCCAAGAGAAGAATTAAAAAGAGAATTTTTGTGTATTTCCCTGAATTTGTATTTTGGCATAGATGAAGACAATGGTTGATGGGGTTTTTAAAAATATTGAGATGGTGCTTGAATTAAGAGAAGGTTGGAAAATACAGAGCAAAAGCAGGTCAATACCTCAGGGAGGTGAAATGTCAGCTGTCATGATGCTGTTGCTGCCACTGTATAAATCTGCAAGTGAGAAAGCCTCAGCAGATAAAGCCTTACTTAAATTCATGTTTTATTCTTTATTTCTCCCTCTCTTCTAGCTGTGACTCTGTGTTGCACAACTGGGTCTGTGAAACCACTGCCTCCAGTCCCTCAAACGCTGGTAGGTGAAAATGTTTGAGTATCTGACTAGAGGGAAACAGCTGGCACCCAGATGGTAGGGAGGGCTGTGGGACGGGATGGAGAATTGCAAACAGCCACTCGCTGGAAGCGGGTGTAGACCTCTAATCTGCAGTGCAGCTTCAGCATCCTTCTGTCCACCAGCATGTCAGAGAGAAGGACTCATCTCCTTCTTCCATGTGCTGTAAATGGCAAACTGGGAAAGTCTCGGTCACGTTCAGTTCACTTTAACGTGCTGGCGGCAGTACTGGCTACAGCCCTTGTAGGAATGTCTTTTACTTCATACACTTATTTCCAGTGGGATCAGGGAATGCTAACAAAATTAGCTGTCTAGTGTGTAGGAGGTCCCCATTCCTAGAGATGCCAAAAACTCCCCTCCACCACCCTCCCCAGTGAAAATGGTGCTCATAGTACTTGGAGAAAACACTGCTAACTGAAGATGTAATCAAATATACCTGCTTTGCATGGGTGAGGAATGGTGGATGAACTGCGTTTATCTCAGGCAAGTCCCAAGTTGTGCTGCTCTGGGGTTGGGTCTACAGATGGCTGGTTAGGAATGTCTGTTTAGCCCAACTTTACAGAGACAGTCTCTAAGTTAATGAATTGGGAAGTGCCTCTGAGCTCTTTATGTGCTCTTGCCTACATCTTGACTTTATATAGGACAGAAACCTGGGAGTGCGGTATCCCACCAGCACCCACTGGGCCTTGCTGTCCGTCTGAGAAAGCAAGGCTTTCACAGATCCAAAAAGAAAAAAAGGACACCCGGATGCCAAAAGGCACTGCTCGTGCTCAATTCTGCTTGAGTCCTCTAGCAGTTGCTAGGTGAAGAAGGGCAATAGTTGGCAGGGTTAAGAATAAAAGCAAGACTGGAAGATCTGCTTCTATGCTTATTTCCTCATCTATCTCCTCCTGTACAAATACAAAGGCAATAGTGGTGTCTTTGACCTTAGTTTTACTGCCCATCCTAATTACTGAGGTTTGTAGGTGGGAAGGAGGTAACAATGACAAGATAATAGAAGAGAACAAAGTTGCTTAAGTTATGATGTTTTTATCTATTTAGAAAAGGACTAACGGTATGGTCTGTCTGTGTATGCACAGATTGTTACCCCAGCCTCCTCCAAATTAAACTAGATTGGGTTTCAAATCATGTGACTTTTAATTTGTATTTCCTGCTTTATTTTAATTTGCCTTCTGTTCTGTATCTTTAGAACACAGTCTGGGTCTATTTTCTAGCCTCTCTTTGTTAACCAGAAAGTAACTTAAAGAAAAAAGGAAAAAAGCTGGAATTTTTGTGTATATAGTTGACATGGACAGTCAGGGCTTTAAAAAACACATAGAGTATCAAGAGACAGAAGATAAAATCACAAGAACTGTAGAAGGGAGCTTTAAGAAAAACAATAATAAAACCCTGGAAAGAAGCTATGAACAACAAACCTTTTGACATTTTTTCTGATAATGAGATTTGAAAGTAATAGCATTGTGAACACGCAGCAGCGTAACTTGTTTTGAATACCATGGTCTGTTTTGCCTGGCTTCCATCAGGAGATGCTTTGTCTATCTGGAGAGATCGTCAGTCATGCAAATCTGCTGCTGAACATGCTGGCTTCTGCTAGGCCTTTATGATTTGTTATTATTATCTGCTTGAGTTCAGAGAAGATATTTTGAAAGGGAAATTTAAAAAGTAGGGACATGACAGTTTTCAGATGGGTACTTCTAAAACAGGTTCAGTAAATGCAGATATAGTAACTACCACATCTGGTTAGAACAACTTGGCTTCATTTTCCCAAGCCATATGATATAATCAGGTTAAGAAGGCTAATACTGACTTTTCATGGTGAGGAACAGTCTATATTTAGTGACAGAGCTACTTCTATAAGCCCTCAGCTCATTTTTACTTTGCCCTTTCATCTACTCAGTTTGATCATCAGAGGTTCCATCATACCCTCGGCCTTCCTTTCGCCTATCTCAGTTCATGTCCTTCACCTCTCCAGCCTCTGCAAGTCTTGCTCCCTTGCTTTCTTCCCAACTGACCAGAGGCATTACCTTTGCATGTTGGCAAAACTGACCAGAGGCATTACATTTTGCATGAGGCATTACTTTTGCATGCTTACATCCTGCAGCTTTGATGCCTCTGTCCCGTTCATCGTTTCAGCATTATATGTCTGGTCTCCCACAGAGGAGCTGGTTCCTAAAGAGTGATGCCATTACAAAGACTAGTGGGCACAAAGGTCCCTTCACGGGAACCAGTGGGCACTTCCCCAGTGGTTTGATAACAGCAGGAAGCAGGAGATTCCTGCCTGAAAAACACTTTCACCGCTGCTGGTGCCTGGCATCCACTGTCTTTGCAATGGCAAATGGCTCATGTAGGTCAGACCAATAGCGCAGTAGACCAGATAGAAGTCCACTGCATGCACACATGTGTCTTCTCATGCTTATGTATTGGACGAGTTTTATGGAAGCTGAAGTGATCCAGCATATGCTTCCAGCTGTACGGTAGGGGTGCAGTTCTGCAGATAGTAACCATTCCCTATATGCACATCGCAGCTGAATCTCAGACTGTCACCTACAGCTCTCTCTAGATGACAGTGGCACAGTCATCAATATGAAAAACCACAATAATATCACTGCCAGCATAAAGAAAATAATAAGATCCACTCAGTTACTGTTAGGAAATGCTCTGGGGCTTTTAGCCAGTGCTGGAAATGGAAAACTGTATATATGGACACAAATCAGGACATTAATCTGTACCAGGTTACAGATTAAGTCCATCCGGAATATTGCAACAGACAAATACACATCCAGCAGTGAAACCCAAAAGGATGCAAATCTGATGTGCTCATCTTTGGCTGGTTCTTTTCCCTGGCAAGTTGGACAAAGCAAAACTCATTTCTGTGATAATAATTCTTTATACCATTTACGTTGGCCAATGCTCTGCAATTTCTTCTGTTCACATAAAAAGATGAAAGCTCCATCAGAGGATGACACTCTGATCATTCCACAAGCAAAACACAGGAAATTAAGAAAGAACAATTTAATCTCCAAAAATTACCAAGGCCAAATGTCAGAGGTGCACATCTGCTCATAAACACATTTACTGAATATCAGCTTGCTCTAACATCACTAGATGCTTTAAAGAGAAATTTAATCTCTGTATTATAATTTTCTCCATCTTTCTGACAACTGCAACTCTAGTTCTGTCATTATTCCACAAAGCAAATGGGCAGTCTAAGACTTGAATCCTGCACACGCAGGCCCTCAAGCTATAAGCTCCTTTCCACCGAAGTTAGATATGACCGACAGGAACCACCCTTACTGGGTTCAAGCAGTCATTCTTGATGTGTAACAGACCCACTCCTAGTCAAATGAAGAGGACTCTGCTGTGAGTGATACCTCTTTAAACAATGAGTACCTCCACTGGAGCTTAGTGAGATCAGATTGAGACTTTGTGTGTTTGCAGGAAGAGATCATGTGTGTCTTCTGGCTCAGTGGACTCAATCAGGCATTCACTTGGCTCTTTGGTTTCTCCTTGTTTAAATTAATTTTAAAAATGTCAATAAAGAGGAAACAAGCAAACATACAAAACCATGGTCACTTGGTCTTGCCTTAAAGGAATCACACCCTGCTTCAGGACACTTGGCATTTTTCCCTGGCATTGCATTACACTGGTTTTCAATTATAAATAGCTGTCATTCGGAGCCTCTTCTCCTAAGTCTTTCTTATTTTCCCTCATCCTTTGCTGTCAGTGTTTCACATGTAGTTTTCTCTGCTTTTAAAGGATTGTGATGTCTGGATTTTCTCAGTTATGACATTTCCCTGATTCCTAAATGCATTTCAGTGCCTTAATTTTAGATGGCCTTTTGCCTATGGTTAGATTGATGTCACTTAGCTTTAATGCCAGGCTTCTTATCCAAGTCATTTGTGTAGACCTCCTCAACAATCAGTGATGATAGGTAGACGCTTCTGTAGGATGACGCATTTCACATGAAGACACGTGTCAAAGCTAGGTAAGATGAATCCCATAGTTACATACCTACACTTGTTTAACCCTGCATAGGGCAAGTTAGGCACCAAGGAGTGGGATTGCTTATATCGAACATGCTTAGCAGAGAAACATCAATAAAACATGGTAAGGAAAAGGAATGATTTAGAATGAATGTAGCTTTTTGCTTTCAGTGATTAGTAATAACAATTGACTAATGCTTGTTGTACTTCATGGTAAGTAATGTTTCCTATTGATGAAAAGCTGTTCAAAAAACTGAAGTTATTTTATAATACTGTGATGGAGTCTTTTGATACAACAGGACATCATCGCACTTAGTTATAGTAAAGCACAATTTGATCGTGTGGTGTCCAAAGCACATGAATTGCAAGTGTTCATTAAGTAGTATAGGTGGCAGGCTTTTGACAGGAGTCAAGTCTATCATGTAATCCTGGTAATGAGAGCTTCCTATTACTGCAGTGTCAGCCTCCACTCAGAGTTAATTGCTTCTGGCATCATTATCATGGAACTTGGTTCTCTTCTCACCTGTCTCACAAATGTTGACAACAGTTTCTGGGCTGTGCTTCTAAATGGATGAGGAAAAAGCTGCACGCCTGTGCCCACCTTCTTAGCTTTGATTAATTTGCCTAATATCATTACACACATTGAAGATATAAGTGATCGTGTACTTGTCACGTGTTATTTCTTACTGTACCCTGTGCTGCATCTCCTTATCATTTTATTTCCTCTGTCTTCAAAAGTGGAAACATAGAAGCCTGCTTCAGGTGCTATCCCCAGACAAGTTGGTCCTGAAAATGCCTGTGGCCCAATGCAACTATGAACCCAAAGGAAATTCAGCTATCCGGCTTGTCAGAAGCAATAAATACTATGTATTGCAAGAGGAAGATTCTGACTGGTGGAAGGTAAGGGATTTGGAAGGGTAAGTATGTGCTGCAGAATACTTTTGTTCCATGACCATGGTCTTCCACATATCTCATCTTCATAGACAGCACTGCAGGCAGTCCTGGTACCTTTTGGGATCTATGTTAGGATTACCTTAGTAGCTTTTAAACCTTGCTCTAGAAGCCTCATTGTCTTCTGTACAACTCCATTTTCATCACCATCCTTGGCTGCCAGGTTGAGTAAGATTTACAACAGTCACTGCCTGGTATATTAAGATAGTACCCGGTGGCCTTAATTTTGATATGTGCCTGAAGAAGGGCTTGTGTATACAGAAGCTGTCCATTTTTTCCAGCTATTTAGTTTAAGTGAATAAAAAGATAAAATCTCTCCTCACAAATGTTGCCACTCTTGTTTGCACTAAACCATTTTTAGACAATCACCGTTACTACTGCAATAGCAGTGACAGCAGACAGACCAGTGAGAACTGCTGAAGCACAAATCACTTATCACTTCAGTCTCTCCCCAGCTTTAGCAATACTTTTTCACAGAGAGAGGGCACCTCAGCCTGCACAGGACAGAAGAGTTTAATTGTTCTCTTTGAGGTTCACAAGTGGAGGAATCCCCTTCAGCAACTTAAAATACGATATTTTTCATTAATATCCAGCTGGGGCAGAAAAGAGCGTCTCTTCCCAAGTTATTAAATGAGAAACAGCTTTAGGAGTACACTGGAGATAAAGGCAGTGCAATAAACAGGAGCTGCCTGGAAGAGATAAGATTCCTTGACTGTCTCATGATGGATAATAGCTGAGTTTGATTTTATATGCCTGACAGAAATGTGGAAGGGAAGAATTTTTGAGCTAGAGGATGCCCAAACTGGTTTGGAACAGAATGAAATTACTTGATCCACTCATAATTCACTGATTAAGTTTACAACTGCAAGGAAACCAACAAATAAAGCAACCTTAACTTAAGGTAAAGTGTCTGCACTTTATAACTCACAGGATTGACATACTGTTCTAGGTGAAGAAAGCAGCACACAACCCCGGTAACTCAAAGACAATAATAAATTAGTAAGCTGATATATGCTCCTAAATGCCTTCACGACTATTTATGGCTATGTAAAAGCATATGATACAGGCAGCTCTGCTTATAAAGCCTGAGTACAGGGCTCTGAGATGAATGAAGGAGCAGAGGAAGATCAAGAGAAAGGGGGACATTTACAGTTTTTTCTTTGGCTTGAGAAACTGGGACTTTTGCAGGATTGCTTCTGTAAGGACAAGTCACATATACATCAAAACAAACCCTTTAAATTCTGCTTGAAAAAAATTGAAGATCTTGTTTTCCTGAATGGAGTAGGAACAAACATCAGGAGTTACCTGTTTCACCTGTTTTCATGCACTCTCAATTTTCTTCTCGCTCTACTGAGATCTATATTGAAGAAATCCTTCCTTTCTGTGTCCATCCATATTCAAATATACAATTTATTTCCCCTATTTATTTTTCTGATGGGCACCACATACAGCCCACCCCCTTACAACTACAGGTGCCTGTTGGCCCCCATAACTTAGGTCCATCATGCCATGCTGCCAGTTGCTTTAAGAGGTTGCTCAGCTGTCCATATTCACTAAGTTTAGCTTCTCAATCGCATCTGGCATTGTGTCGGGAAGAGTGCTGAGCATACCTATTGACTTTCTGCGTTCGACCTTGGATACTCTGCTGGCACCCATTGTCACTGGCATCCTTCATCACACCTTCACTTCATTACATGGCATGTAATGAAATTGTTGAACAGCTGCTCCAATCTTCCATATGATGAAGCCAATCACTGAGGAAGAAGCCATGTCAATGACTAGCGAAAAGAGTACTTCATTGAAATGTAATTTTCTAGAACAAATTACTTCTGGTAAGTAAAAGCAGAAATGTTTTAACCATGAGCATTTCTGTTAGCGACATTCTAAAAAGTGACTCTGATTAATCCCTTTTCCTATTTTAAGTGACCAAATTTAAGACGCAGTCGTGTACGATAGCTAAACTGTGAACTGCTCATTTTGCAGGAATGAAGGTTTCGTACCGAGCACTTACTTGAGAAAGTTATCTCTGAATGTGGATGAGCCAAGGTGAATCAATGTGCAGCCTTCTACTGCTTAAATGGTTTCCCCACCACTCTAGTAAAGATTAGGCAATATTTCTGGAATATTTTTCTTTTTAAACAACTTTCTGGGTACTAAGCATAAAGTTTCTGAAAGGTATAGAATCAGATACAATTTGTCTTCTTGACTCATACATTAATGCAAAAAACATCAGTTGAAAATCCTGGTTTCATTTAAATCAATAGGGTTTAGCCACTAACTTCAATGACACTGGGATTTCAGTCTTTGTAGTCTTATTTCAGCATTAAATCAGCCTTGCTAGCATTCTCATGCCTTTGTATGTGAGTAGTCCTCTAAAGGGTAAAGGGAATCCAGGTCTGTTGAAATGGTACATCAGACCCATCTTTTCCTTTTTAAGGAAAGTTATCTTGAGTAAGATAACACAACATTGTAAGCATTAAACGTATGCCTAAGTATTTGAATGAAAATCTGACAGAAACATAGCAGATTGTCTCACGGTAAACCATACTTGACAAGATTCAGAGGTTTCCTTAAAAAAAACCCCTAGTCTTACAGTATCCTGTAAAAGGCAGCATAAATAAGAATCATTATTATTTCTTATTACTATTAGGCCTTTTTCTGCCACCTGAACTCCTTCTGTTGTCTGTTATGCTAAGAACATTTATTTGGCAAGTCTAGGGTTGTGCAGTTTTGGAAATCTTCCATGTAAATTTTGAAAAGGTAGATGCAATCTCTTCATAAGGTCACTGAAGGGTTATGTACTTTCATTGCCTGTTACAGCATGCACAGAGAATAGCTGGCTTTCCAACACATTGCACAGTGGAGGGGAAAGCTCTGTAAGTGTTTACCAAGCCATAAAAAAATCCAGACAATTAAATATGTCTCAACTTTTTGAAATATTCACCTTAGACCATGACATAACTACTCAAAAAATATATGTAGTGTGACTTTTAACCCAAGGAAGGTATTTTTCATAACGAGTTTTTCACAATTTCAGCATGTTGTTTTGTCTTTGCAGGGGAAACTCCAGTGTCAGTGAACAGACGTTGGCAGAAGAGCAGAGTATTGCTAAGCATGAGTGAGTATAGAATATGTCTTCATGAGAACCAAAAGCTTCTTTGGGCGGAGATTGTCTTTCCACTTTACATGTCCTCTATAGCTCGAGCAATGGTATCCTACATATGGCTGTCATAATAACGATAATAATTATAGATATTGTCATCAGCAACATCACTGTCCACAGACTTCCAAAGGCATGAATGTGTTTTCAGACAAAAAAAGGCATTTAGACAAATCAGTCTAGTATGCTAATAAAGAGATGCTTCTTAAAAGTGAACTGCTATTAGAAAGGCTTCTTTGGAGCTCCCTGAACTGATCTGACATAGCATGTTTGGTTTATTTCCTCCATTTGAGATCTCTCAGTTTACTTAAATATTACAACAACCAGAAGGTTCAAGGTTAGAGGAGAATTATGCACCTCCCACCTTTTAGGAACACAGCTGTGTCATGGTCTGCAGGAGACAGAGCAAACTACTTCTGGTAAAGCTCCTGTCAGAGCATTAGAGCAGCGGGATCCTCCTCTAAGGATTTACTGTAAAAAGTCAGAGTCACAGAGTGGGCCCAGATATTTCAGGAGGAGACCCACTGGATGGATGAGAGGAAGCAGACGGGAACTAGTGGTTTCCCTTTTATCTCATGGCCTAGAATCACACATGCAGGACAAGTCCCAAGTCTACTCTCTGGCTTTTAAAAGCAGTTTTGAAAATATTTATGATGTCTGGCATTTTTCATGTGTCTGCTGTGCCTTATTCAGAAATCAGCCTGTGAATAAGCAGCCCAATATTTCTCTTTGCCGTTGATATGGTGGTAATATCTCTTGTGCCCAGTCTGAGCAGCTGCTCTGTCAGAAGGTCCTTTATCGCTTGTATATCAACAACCATGGAAATGTTTCTGTGTCTGTTGTCTTTGCTACACTGTGTAGCTAGAGGATGCTGATGCTCTTCAAATAGCTGTAGTATTACAGAGTGCTAGAAACTTTTGTGCTAAGTTGCTATCGATAAATAGATCTCCAAAAATGCTTGGATGTGTTAATGGCTTTTCTACATAAATGAACAAATGATGCACCTCTAAAATACGCTTGGAACAAAGCCACACTGAGTGCGTTTCCTCTCAAAACTCTGCTTTTTGGTTTTATCTCTAGGCCTGTGTTGTTTGCTCCAGTGTGGCTCTTTCTGCAGGTCAGTCTAGAGGAATCCTCTGTGACGGTTTTACGATATATAAATGTGGAGTAAAAGAAGTTCACTCAGACAAGCAGACAACCCTGAGCAAACTCAGTGCTATGCCCACTGAGCATTGGGGATGCAGCTGACTAGGAGCAAGGATAGATAGCACCATACGGCTAGTCAGGGGTACAAGTCTTTACAGCAGACGACTGCAGAACGACTTTTCCATGTACCTTCCTGGAGGAGACCCAGCCTTAGCCATGCTTTGTGCTTGAGTATGCTGTGTTAAGAAGTTCTCCTCTTGTGGCTTGCTGCTTTCTCACAGCCAGTCTTATTGGTACTCAGCCACTAACAACTTTGGTATAATCTGACCCTTTGAGAGCCTCAGCTCAGTGTCCTTTCCCTTAGACCTGCACCATAGGTTCAGGAATGAAATTCAAGTGTGGCAAATCACTGGAGAAAGGCAGTTGTGTCCCTGTCCCAAAAGGTGCTGGATACTCCTGACTCCAGTTAACTTTAAGGGGACATGAAGTTTCCTTTGAACTTCAGAGCAATAAACCGTGGCCTGTATAAGAGGTTCTAGATGTCTTCTTTCCTCCCTGCAATAGCCGTTCCTAGCACATTAGAGGTGTAGCTGTTAAATGAACTCTGAAAACCAGAATTTCCAGCCTGGTATGGTAAACCATTAACAGAAGTAAAAGCGGATAGTGAAAGTTAGGACTGGAGTACCACATAAAGACTAAAAATAGTCCAAATATAATAGAGTGCAGTGAAAATCTTTCTACTTATTCAGTAATTCAAAAATACTTTGGCAATAGAAAATGCATCACTCTAATGCATTATGCAAAGGAACTGAGTGTGGTGGATAGAGCTTTTACTCAGATGGGATGCCTGTGGCAGTGTTTGGGTCTTATAACGTGTACCTCCTCTGGAGGGGACATGAGGAAGGAGATGGGGTTAACAACTCTCCATGTCCCCAGTTATAAATCTGTATCTGTGCACCAAAACAAAATTGCAGACTGCTTGCTTCATGTCTGGGCTGGGGAACAGCTCACCTGATTTTAAACATTTACTGTGGGATACCACAACCAGTTACCTAGACCCTCTTTTTAGTGGAGAGAAATAAATATTTCTAAGGTATAATTCATCTTGTCCTAATGTAGTCCTTAAACGAGGTCAGATGAGTCACGTCTCCTTTTCTCCTATGCATACATTACAGTGTAAAAGCCTAAAGTTCACTGAAATGAATCCCAACCTCATTGTTCCTTATAACTTTTTTTTTTTTTTTTAATTAGGGGAAAGAAGGTGCTTTTATGGTTCAGAAATCTAGCCAAGCAGCAGCGTATACTGTGTCTGTGTTCAGCAAGGTTCCTGAGTGAGTATCCAAAGAATGCGTACCATTTCTATGAGCGTGCTATGGGCATGCTACTTGGTGTGACTGGTCAACAACAAAATCTCTACATTGTGTTAAAGGTGAACTTCAGGCACATTCGGGTCATATTAGTTATTTGAATTCGTGCATGACAGTGGCTCCCTGAACAGGGGAACGGAGGTCCAGAATTGTGTCATCTAAATATAGGCATGTAACAGGCACATGATCTAGGGGAATAGTGGGATCTCAGGAGCGAGACAGAAGGAAGGGAAGGGGAATGGGAATGGGAAGGGGAATGAGAAGGGGAAGGGAAGGTGTTCAAAATTAGATGTAGAGCCATTGCAAGGGTAGTATATGAAAGTCTTTTGCTCTAGATGTAACTGTTGGGAGACAAATACTGACCACCAGACTACATTAGAGTATGCAGCAGAAGTCTCCAATGTGCTAGGAGCCTATACTATATGGCCAGCGGGTGTTAAGGGGGGAAAAGCAGACTGAGGCAAATGTAATAGTCTTCCTGGTGACATCTACTACATATTTTGTTATTTGGCCAGCTGGAGTGTTGCAGTTCATTCAGGAACAAACTAATCTATTAAAGCGTGGGCTGGAAGGCACTTTGCAAGGCTTTGACATGTACTGCATTTCATGATGTTTTCCAGAAGTAAAAAAGGAACAGTCAAACATTACCATGTGCACAAAACCCCTGAGAACAAGTATTACCTTGCTGAAAATTACTGTTTTGAATCAATTCTCGAGTTTATACGCTACCATCAGCACAACTCGGCCGGTAATCCTATATGCTCCTTCTACTCGATTGGCTTTGGCTTAGGCTTCTGGACTTCTCAGCATTATGGTGAATCTCTTCCAATATTGAATACTCTAAATATTGAAACATCTCTTGGGAGAGTTTGGGTGGAATTTGATCTAACATATTCACAACTAATACAGTTGCTTTCGTTTGCTGTATGGTGCTTTTTGGTATTGTACTACCTCTTCTTGCAATACCTCTGCTGGACTTAAGCACAGAAAAGTTTCAATCTGTGAAGTGATGCAGCAGCTGCTGAATATTGAATATTGAATATCTGTCATTACCTGGATGTTTGTAATATGGCAGGGAGAGGGAGGTATTAGTTTCCCTGTATTTTCTTTGATTTCAGAAGACTCGTGTATATATTGTGACGTTTAGCATGTTTTCTTTGTGGGTAAGGTGACAAGGTGCCAGCATGCAGTGTCTACGCAAGTAAATAAAGTCCCATCCACAGCTTCATTAGGAAATGGTATGAAGATAACTTTCCTTTTTGAAACTGGGGTCAGTCTTGGCCACCAAGAAAAGAATAACCAGAAAATCATGACTCTTACTGCTTTCAGGCTTGCAGGAGGTTACAGAATCTTTGTTTGGTGGCCATTTCTGTTTGTCCATGCAGGAGGCAACGTGAGAATTTGGGAAGGATGATCTTTCAGTCAATAGCTCCTTCTGTAGTTTCCTCTTGTCCAATGTAGCAGTGAGACTTCATGGTTCTATGAAATAGAGTATCCCTTCCTACAAGTGCATCTAGTCTACATTCAGGGCAACGTAAATGCAAAGGCATTTTATATCAACCTTTATGTTGTGCCCTTTTTAAGGCATTTTATGTCAGGTCTTATATCAACTGTGCAAGACCTTGCATGCTTCCTTCCCCAGCACATCTGAGTCATGGCCATTCTTTCCTTTTGCCACGTTACCTGGCACAGTAATATTTGTTCTCCAATCTCCAACATGAAAATATATCATAATTTGATGCATAAATCTTTCTCAAATCTATTTATAAGGCTTAAACCTAAGCAATAGCAAACTACACTTGTAGGAAGTGTAGTCTCCTTCCATAACTCAAACACAAAGCTGAGAGACAGATGTGTTGTTTCAGTGTGTTGTTTCAGTGCTGCATAGTTCTGCAACCCTCTAGAGAAAACAACAACATTGCATGTGGGGGATACCACGCTTGCATTTTTTGCTAAAGGGATTTCTTCTGTCCCACTAGGAATCTGGGAGCTGAAATGAGAAGAAATTGTTCTGTTGAGAGAGCTAGGGAGTGGTCAGTTTGGAGTGGTGCATCTAAGAAAGTGGAAGGGACAATATGATGTGGCCATAAAGATGATTAAAGAGGGAGCAATGCCAGCAGATGAATACATAGAAAAAGCTTAGACCATGATGTAAGCTATAGCGTTGCTTAATTATTTGGAAATAATGATCTCTCCAAACATTAATCAGCGATGTATAACACACACAAGAAAAAGAATTTCCTCTTAAAAATAGCATTAAGTAGCGTTGAGTGCACTAGGCACAAGCTAAACAGGTAGCCATATAGGATATTTGAAGTATTACCAAAAGAACTTCACAAAGATTGATACGGTCATCTACAAGGTTTTCAATTAACATCTCTTCCACAACTTCAGAGGTTCCACATAAGTCACTTAAAACTCTGCTTCATTAGCATTTAAACAGAAACTGTTAGAAAGCTGTTCCTGCCATCCTGCAGATAGGAATGAGAGACAGATCAATAACTGAGAAATGCCAGAAATACGAACATGAGACTTGAAGTTTTAGTCTCTGACTCTGAAGAGATAAGGATGTTAGAATTTCCAGTGAAATTCCATGAGACGATAATTGAAGCATACGAATTCAAGAATATTTCTTACATCTCGTATACCGAAGGAATGCACTACATTCCTGTCAGTTAACTATCTGATATGACCAGGATTCTCAATGTGAAAATTTTGCAACATGGTTTTAGTAGAAAACTGGTCCACCCCACCAACTCAGATCTGTTTTCTCCCACTAATAACATTGCACTTTCGCGCTGCTAAATCCTATTTCAGGTTTTGACTATAAAGTTGTCATTTCATCAATACTGAGTCTTCTTTTGATTGTCATCAATACTGAGTTTCAAAGTAATCAGCAGAAGGATACTCGGTTCTTCCTGAAAAGGAATATTTGAAGTCTGAGATGGGACTGTATCCAGTCTCAATAATTTCTTTCAGTATGTTGTATTAACACTTGAAGAACAAAACTTACAGAAATGCACAAGAATCTCCATTTATTCTTTGCATATTTTATTTTTATTTATTTCAGGAAATTTAATCGTCCCAAACTTGTTAGACTGTACGGTGTATGCTCAAAATCATACCCCATCTATCTAGTGACGGAATACATGCCTAATGGCTTTTTAGTTAGCTGCTTAAGGAGTCATGGGAAGGAACTACAACCCCTTCAGCTTCTGGAAATATGTTATGATGTTTGTGATGCTATGGCATTTCTGGAGAGCTGTCAGTTCATACACAGAGATTTGGTAAGCTATCCCACGGGAGAAGTGGAACAGGGAAGGTAGGGGAATGACCTAACACTAGGCAGTCCTACCCCTCAGGATCACCCACAGCTGCACTGGCTCTGTTGACGCTCACCCCAGAAAGGGTTGCGGACCGCTGAGCAGAGACACCCAGCTGGCTCCATGCAAGGCAGCTCTGGACAAGCAGCACTAAAGCCACATGTAAATAGCACTGCCCACAAGCTAATACGCTCTGCTTGAGAGCTGAGCTGACAGGTCTGCAGCACTGCATACTGTGCTGCCTCCATTTATGGGCTCCAGCCTCAGGGATTTATGCACCACTTGGCAGCACAGACATCCAATTGTAAAATCAGCCCACTGAAGTAAAGGATTCTGTCCAATGATGCTGTAGTGCTCCAGGAGAAAGCGGTGCAACATTAAAGATTTGGGTTACTTAGGTTGTTTTTTGTTTAGTTAGGGATTTATCTAATTGGGAACTGTTTCTCTTATAAAACAGGTGTGAACAAGGGTAAACTGGAATTAACTCTGGTGCATTGCAAGCAGGAGCAGAACTTGAAAGTGTGCAGCTACCTAGCTCTTTTAAATACATTTATCTGCCAGTTTTCAAGCAAGTATTTCAAGTTGCTTGTGATGAAAGGATCAGGCCTTTCAAGGACTCAGACCACAAGTTTATGCAAAACTTAGCTTTCAAGAATGCTGGCTTTGGGGAAATAAGCTGTTATTTTATTGGCCTATTAAAAGTGAACCTAGCCAAATTTCTGGTGCATTGTCCTTCAGAGTCAGTAGCAGTATTTTGCCTTCTAACTCTAGACAAAAATATGTTGGAAGATTTGTGACAATTTATGTTACAGACTTGCTTAATTTTCCAGTAGGGGTTCAGTCTCCTCAGGTAGCATTTTAAATGTCTTGTTGATGCTTTCAAAGAATTGCCTTTATGAGTAAACAAAGTTGTTAAATGCATACCTCACCAATTTTCACACCCTGATTCAGAAATCAACAATATCAGACAACTTAAGTAGCAGAATTCAAGTTGTAAATATAAAGTCAGTTTCCCAGAAACTGGCTGTGCACCATGGGAAAACAGAAATAAAACTTGAGCTTCATTTCAGGTTGAAAACTGTAGGTGCAGACTGTATCACAGAAATTAATAAGCATGCAGGCAGAGAATACAGCCTTAGATAAATGTTTTCAAGTGATCATTTGCAGAACTAGGCTTATATTGAAATTTTCATAAATCAAGCTGTTTAAATCACCTTGCTCCACTTTGTTTATAGTGCCTTGCAAATAATCCAATCAATGTTTTTCACTTTTTGATGCCTTGGTAAATTCTGAGACTACTGAAAAGGACCCTGGAGTAGGACGCCATTTGAAAGACAGGGTTTAGTTTCTGGCTCTGTTGCTGTTTATCTAGGTGAATGTGTGTTTCTTACCTCTGTTTCCTCACCCCTCAATGTCCTTATTTGAAAAGCCGGGATAATGGTAAAGAATGGTTTTCAATCGATAGTCAAAAAGTGAAATAAGAAAGCTACTTACTGTTCCCTTACAGTTCCAAACTTAATTGCTTCAATCAAAGAAGGTCATTATTCATTGAAATGCTAGAGGACAGAAATTGTTATTAGCAAATTACCAAGACACGACGTTATTTGCTCCTCTTTGTATTTTTTCCACTCACCTCTTTTCTCATTTCTCTACTAAAGGCTGCCAGGAACTGTTTGGTTGACAGTAATCTTACTGTGAAAGTATCTGACTTTGGGATGACTAGGTAAGTAAAAGAACTTGTGAAGCTATGATGTTAGTGTATATATAGTTTACTGGCATTGGTCAGCTAGCAACTGGCTGTTAGGAAAGTTAAGCCGCAGGGCGTGATACAGCTCTTTGTGTCTCCTTTCCATTAACAACCATAAGGCGTTATGGGGTTAGAATAAAGTCATTCTGCTGTCTCAAAAAGTTAAGGCTTGAAGGCCAATCGCAGCTGAGAGATTTCACTAGTCATGTTTGTTAAAAAAATCTCAGGGTTTACTTTGTGTACAAGATTTTCACCTAATGAGGGGGCCAAATATTTTAATCAGCAGCCTCAATGGAGAGAAGTTGGAGAGGAGGAGCAGCCTGGAGAACCTGTCCTCTGAGAAGAGGCTGAGGGAGCAGGCTGCTTAGTCTGGTGAAGAGGAGGCTAAGAGGGGATCTAAAAGCTGCCTATAGCTACTTACAGTTACAAAGCTGATGGAGCCAAATAAGTTTTATCTGTGCCAGGTGATATAACAGCAGACATCGGCCACATACAGTAGCTTGGGAAGTTCAAGCTGGAGAGTAAGACAAGTTGTTTCCCCAGGAGGGTGGTGGAACAGTGAAACATGCCAGTCAGGGAGACTACGAGATTGCAATCTTTGGAGGCTTTTAAGACTTGGCTACACAGAGCCGTGGCTGACCTGATCTGATGCTGGGAGCAATCCTATTTCAGCAGAAGGCTGGGCTAGATGGCCTTACAACAGGCATTTCTATGATTCTGCATTATTTCTCTAATAAGATGATAGCAATTATCTGTTCTATAGATTATAGCTAATGCCTCTATCAGGCATTTCCAATTTCCCATTGGAAATTTGGGATTCTGCCCAGGCTTTTCTTAGGAACCTTGTGATGTACAAGGAAGAAGCAGTAAATAGTATTTCACCGTAACTCAGTGTCCTGGTTCCGGCTGGGACAGA